CATCATGCTGTATTGAAGAAGACTTGAAACTAGAGATTGAGACCATCGGTGTGTATGTTGTTTTACATGAGGTTACTAATGCGTTTAAAGCATTATCAGGTCCGAATGACATTAGAGGTGCGTTCCAAAACTGTTCACAGCGCTGCATCTTCCAGGAGTCGGTGTGTGCGTCCTGTCTGCCAGTCAGCATGTGCGTTGTAGTTCAGCGTCGTCTTGTTAGTGTGGACTCGTCAGGCCGACCTGTCTCATCCTCTCACATCAACCAGCAGCCTCTTCTCCCTCACACACACACACACACACACACACACACAGAGACATACACACAGACAGACAGAGGCTGTCCTCCGGCCATAGTGTCAATGTCAACGTTGCATCTGGTATACACGACAATAGGCACGTACTCCCACCGCACACACACACACACACACACACACACACACACACACACACACGGACACACAGACACACACAGGCTAACAGGATAATGACTGGCCAATTAGGGGCAGGCTTGATCTGTCTGGATGTATCCAGTCATCTTAGCCCCTCCAGCGGCCATTACTCAGGCATGGACACACACACACACACACAAACTCACTAGCACACACACACACTAACACATGCAAACACACTTGACTGGATGCAGCGCTGTGAAAAGCTGGCTGCTCTACCAGGCGACCTGTGTGTGTGTGTGTGTGTGTGTGTGTGGGAATTTTATTCTTGCGTGCACCGCTTTCATAAACTGACCGTTTTCATTTTAAATGGAATAATACCTTCAGTCATCGCTGCCCTTCTGGCTGCAGGAGTGCAGCAGCAAACATTTGTACATGTGGTGCGCTCACGAGTCTGTTTTTGGTCGTGTGTGTTTTAGGAAACTGTGTGTGTGAGTGTGAAAAGCAGTGACGTGCATATAAAAGGGTTTAAATACAGTGTCAAAATCTGAGTCAGCGACTGTAAAGTTCAAGCGGAGTTAAATGTATTTACAGAGACCTTAACAACAAAAAGGGATGAGTCACAATGCTCTTTGCAGGAAAAACAGATTAATAAGAATAAGACCAAGAAATAGTCTGTTATGTGTCTGTTAAAAGGAATTCGTCATTAATTCTAACTAAGTACAACATGAAGCTGTTTACCTTTTATTAAACAGTTTGACCTTAGAGAGTGTAAGAAATGTATGAAGAGACACATTTTACACAGACGTTGCTCGATCTCTCCAGGGTGATTGATTACAACGTACATGCACAGTGTGCGAGGTGTGTGTGTGTGTGTGTGTGTGTGTGTGCTGTCTGTCTGTTGACGATGTTGGCCTTAACTGACGCTGCACTCCGTTTGAGTGGATGATCCTCACCACCATCATTGCAAACTGCATCGTCCTGGCTCTGGAGCAGCATCTTCCTGATGGAGACAAGACGCCTCTCTCTGAACGACTGGTAACACACACACACACACACACACACACAGATACGCACACACAGATCAGTCAACACAACACGGGCCAATCGCACCGAGACGCGATTCTAGAAACCCGTCGCCTGTAATAAACATTACAGGTTTTTTAGACGCACATACAAGTTCAAATGTTCTGAAATTGTCAGCGCGGAGTCGCACCGCTGGTCAATGTCACATTTGACCAAAGCAGCCTGTCGAATGTTACTTTCACCACTGACTTGCTGTTTTGATGCCTTTAGATGTGGCACGAACGGACACTGATGTTAGCAAGATCATTTTCCCCTCCTCTGGAGGTAAACATTTATTTAATGCTGTTATATGAGGAGAAGTAGAAATGTTATGTTGTTTGCTAAAAAACGGCAAAGAAATGCGGTGCAAGAGAGGAGCGAAGCGTCTCGGTGAGACCGGCCCCTCAGAGAGCATGTGCACCGACAGAAAGACATGAAAACACGCTGAGACATTTGACTTACAGTAGCAGAGCACACACAGACTCGCATTCACCAGCGTGGTCTCCTAAAAATGGCGTTCCCACACAACAGAAATGTGTTTACGTTTTGAGGGAAGCGAATGTTCTTGTGCATTACGTGAAATGAGGAGTAACATTTCGTAAGATATCACACGAACCGTCGTATGAAGATTTGCTCCTCAGGAAGGCCGTCGGGTGGATGGGTGGGTCACCACAGGACTTTCACCCAGGAGACCGTTGTTTGTGTCCCAAAAGGCTTTTACGGCCTAAAAACAAGCCTCACCTACTCTGTCCTTCGTTGTGGCTCAAAAACTGACAATTTTATGCTCAATAATGTTATGATCCACTAAAGTTAAGCACAATTAAGAGAGTTTCATCTCTTCTTTGTTGGGAGGGGAAAAGGAGACACTAGCTGAGTGCACTTTTGTAATTGTAATATAACTTTTAGTTGTTTTCTTCTAAATTTAAACCCGTGTTTGAAACCGTGACACATTCTGTTTCCTTTGAAACGTAATTGAGAATGCATTTCAGTTGTATGAGAATGTAACTTTACAGGAGACAGGCTTGAATAAACACACTGTACACAATCAGAATAAATTCTCACTGTGGTTTTAATTTCATTTTACAGAAATTTCAGTTTTCCTTTACGTTCAACTTCCCCAATAAACAAACTCCATGTGAACAGAAAATGACCCTTTTCTTCTTCTCTTCCTCTTCACATTCCTCCTCTCTTTCTGCTCTGCCTTTTACCCCCCTTCCCTCCCCCTCCCGTGCTCCCCTGCAGGAGGAGACGGAGCCCTACTTCATCGCCATCTTCTGTTTTGAGTCGGGGATAAAGATCCTGGCTCTGGGTTTTGCGTTACACAAGGGCTCCTATCTGAGGAACGGCTGGAACGTCATGGACTTTGTGGTCGTGCTCACCGGGTGAGTCCTCACAAATATCTACGTCATCACTCCAGTTTTATTTCAACATTACTTTTTGTAGCTTTTTTCTTTATATCTTCAGTTTTTGTCCTGTGGGAATCACTGTCATTTCCATGAGTTTTGACACTTTATTTTTATTTCTATGTTTCTACTGACCCCCCCCCCCCCCCCCCCCGGGTACTGAAATGTGCAGGATGTGATGTGTTGCCATGGCTACCTGTTCCACTCTGGCGCGGGGTTAGTCGGGGCCATCTTTCTTTTTTATTTCCTCTCAGACTCCAGACTGAATCATTTTGCATCACAGCGAGACACAACCAGGAGCTTTTTGTTAAACAGGGTGTCCTCTGTAATGGAGGGCCGCCGGGCCAAACAAATATCAGTGAAATAGCACCGAACACACTCGAGTCTTTATCTTACATGCACTCTGCAGCGGAGCGCCGCCGTGCGTCCGTGAACGAGTGTGTGTGTCTGCTCAAATGTCTGCGTCTCTGTAATCTACATCCTCAGAGTCAGCTGAAGGTAAAGTGAACATGAAGTTGTCTGCACCGCTGGAAGTGACGTAAAGAAGCCTTTTTATGTGCAGTGAGCGCTGCACCAGACTCAGCTTAAAGAAAGAGCACTTTTAAGTGCCGTGTTGTTTGTCGGTGACCAATCATCTGATAGTTCAGCTTTGTGCAGATAACACGCCGGTCATCATGTTGCTTTAATGAGAACTCCACTCCTGCCGTGTGTTCCTGGTGTCCTTCACCGCTGCTTTGGAAGAGAAATAACAGGCGGACCAGCTTTAAAAGTGACAAATAAGTGACAATAAGTGACAATAAGTGACAATAAGTGACAATAAGTGACAATAAGTGGGGCTAATCTATACTGATGTGAAGAGTGATTCATGTGGATAATAAAAAGGACAAATATTCGTAATAGCAACTTAATATTAAAGAAAGAAGTGAGGCGAGACACTGAGAGCGTTCAACCAGGTTTCTCTTCATCCGTTATTCTGGAGGAAGATTTTAGTTTATTTTGTTTTTATTTGTCAAGAAATATTAGAACGTTATCAGCGTTTACAAAACGAACAATCAAAGTAACAATCAGATGAAAAACAAACAAATCCAAACATCATCTTAATCGTGTCTTTTATTTTTAGTTACTCCACCAAATGTGTATAATGAGTTATTACTAACTTACTACTTAATTTTCAGTGTGTGTGTGTGTGTGTGTGTGTGTGTGTGTGTGTGGGACACACACACACACACAGTCATGTCAGTGAATCCAGTTAAATTCAAA